CTAGCTCCTAAAAAGTGTCACTTTCTGAGAAAGTCTGTAAAGTTTCTGGGACATGTGATTGATAGTACTGGTGTTTCTGTTGATGAAGAGAAAGTGAAAGTAATCTCTGCTTTTCAAAAAGAGGATTTAATGAAGGATGACAGAGTCACACCATTACAAAAGAAAATCAGATCATTTCTTGGTATGGTCCTGTATTATCAAGCCTTCATCCCAAATTGTTCACGGATCGCCAGGCCCTTATTCAATTTGACCACAGGCCAAAAACGTTCTGCGAAAAATGCAGGTGGCGGTAGGAGAGCAGGCACTTTTCGGGAGTTGACACCTCAGGACTGGACCCCAGACTGTGATTCGGCCTTTAGTGAATTAAAGACGGCCCTTGTTGACAGTGTGGTGCTGGCTCATCCAGATTTCGAACGTCCCTTCTTACTCTGTACTGACGCTTCGTTGGAAGGCTTAGGAGCTGTGCTCTCTCAAGTTCCTGTTGGTGAGGACAAGGCGAGACCGATAGCGTTCGCTAGCAAGGCTCTGAGTCGCAGCCAGACAAAATATCCTGCACACAGATTGGAATTCTTGGCTCTGAAGTGGGCGGTGTGTGACAAGTTCAGTCACTGGCTGAAAGGCCATGAGTTTACAGTGTGGACGGATAACAATCCACTGACATACATCATGACCAAGCCAAAACTGGATGCATGTGAGCAGCGCTGGGTCTCGAAACTCGCTCCATATTCATTTGAGATCAAGTATGTTCCTGGGAAGCTTAACGTTGTGGCAGATGCACTCAGTAGGGATCCGTTCACCAGGCCAGTGAGTCAGCGGCTTTTGTCAGAGCCCTATTCAGATCTTTTGAGACATGTGCACAGTGTTGACGATGGAAATGTTCAAGAAGTGTTCAGACTTACCTGTCAACCGCAATCAGTGGAATCAGGTCCTGTTTTTGGGCTGGATACATCAATGTCCGCTGATGACGTGTCTTCCATTCTGTCCTCCTGCGATGAATGGGAAACAGTTACTGAATGTAGAGCAGCATCAATTGCAGAACATCTTGACTCTTTGATCAACAGTGATGAAGTGTTTCATTCCCTTTCTCTTGCTGACTTGCAAGACCATCAGCACAAAGACCCTGTCATTGCTAGAGTGTGTTATTACATCGACAGAAAGCGCAGACCATCAAGACGTGAACGAGCTAATGAACACCTGTATGTGTTACGGATCCTTAAGCAGTGGGACAAACTTTCAGTGCTTAATGGAATCTTGTACAGAGCAATTAAAGACCCGCTCACGAAACATAAGAGGTTTCAGTTCATCTTACCTGAATCTTTGAAAAGTCAAGCTCTTTCTGGCCTTCACGACCTGGCTGGTCATCAAGGGCAACCACGCACTTTGGCATTGGCACGTCAGAGGTTTTTCTGGCTTGATATGGAGCGTGATGTGCGGGATTATGTGAAGAAGTGTCCCAGGTGCGTCTTTAGCAAAACTCCTGAGCCTGCTGCGAGAGCCACTTTGGAGAGTATTAAAACCACAGCCCCATTGGAGCTCGTTTGCATTGACTTCTGGTCTGCTGAGGACCGACACAATAAATCTGTGGATGTTTTGGTGATCACAGATCACTTCACGAAACTAGCACATGCTTTTCCATGTCAGGACCAGACAGCAAAAACAGTAGCCAAGAGACTGTGGGATAGCTTCTTCTGTGTTTATGGATTTCCCCAACGCATCCATTCTGATCAAGGTGCTTCATTTGAGAGTGAATTGATGGCTGAGCTTCTTGCGCTGGCAGGTATCGACAAGTCTAGAACCACTCCTTACCACCCAATGGGGAATGGTGGTACTGAGCGATTTAACAGAACACTAGGTAACATGCTGAGGTCTCTTCCACCTAGACCTAAGCAGAAATGGCCGCAGATGGTACAGACCATGACATTTGTGTACAATTGCACAGTGCACGAAACAACGGGGTTTGCCCCTTTTTACTTGATGTTTGGCAGAGTGCCACGGCTGCCAGTGGACCTAATGTTTCAGAGTGTTCTGCGAGATGACTCCATCTGTGATTACGACCAGTACGTTCAGTCGCTCATCAGTGACCTTCAGACTGCTATGTCGGTAGCACAGACAAATTCAGCTCACAAACAAAGACACCAGTCCAGTCAATACAACAAAAGAGCAAAAGGCCTACCTCTTGCCATTGGTGACCAAGTGCTTGTAGCCAACAAGGGATGTAGGGGGAAACGAAAACTTGCTGACAAATGGGAACCTGTTGTGTACACTGTTGTTGCTGCAAAACCATCCATACATGTCTATAAGATCAGTGACAGAGCTGGTATTGAGCGTACAGTGCATCGCAATCTACTTTTGCAAGTGAACTTTCTCCCCTTGCCTAATACAGACTCTGATGGTCCTGGTCTGGAGGTTGCTGGATCACTTACCTGCAGTGTCGCTCCACAGTCAGACTTAACAGGCTCTGATGGTCTAACTGCCCGAACAAACAGTGATATTTGCTCTGATGTTGAAGAGATTGAGCCTGCTGAGGACACAGATGAGGGACTGAATGAGGCTACGGGCCTCTCACAAGTTGACTGCATGTCCAATGTCTCCAATGCTGCTACATGCAATGATGACCGCACTAGTTCATGGGTGCATTCTCAGTTGCCTAGCCAACAGGTGCCAAATTCACCTCTTCCAGTGCCTGTGGCCGATGACTGCACTGTGGCTGGTGCTGGTGCAACCCTGTCTCCCCCACAGTCTCTCCCTGATTGTGTCTTACCTGTTGTACAGAATCCTGTAGTAGATCCAAATGCAGCTGATCATTACTCTACCAGGTTTGGGAGGATTATTAAACCAGTGTGTAGACTTATTGAATCAATGGTTCAAATTGAAACCCTGTTGAGTTCAGATTCTGGGTCTGCAGTTATTCATGTCTGAATTTAAATTTCAGCCCCAAATTCCTGAAGGTTTTGGAATTGAGTGTTTTTCTCCTATCTTTCTGATATCTTTCTTTAACGGACTGTGGTATAAGTTTACAAGGTGTAATGGGCACCTTGATAATGTCTATAAAATGTGCTGAAATTTGGCCAATTTCTAAACATTTTTATCCTTTTATAGGGTAGCTTTTAATGCTGTCTGTCTTCACATATTTTTGGTGTGTGGACCAAGTAATTCTTATGACCAGTGTACAGAGTTTTTCATGTTTTCTCAGAATTTTGTGTAATTCTAGGGGGGTGAGTGTAACAGGTATGAAAATTATAATTCGCTTTAAGTATAGAATTACACAAAATATGTGTTTTATCTAATGTGTTAGTAAGTATACCTGAGGTGTTTGTTAGTGTGTGTCTTCTCCTTTAAATTTCTAAGGGAGCTCACGCTGTTTAATTTCCTGTTTTGCGCCCCGCCTCTTCCCTTTCTGCACTGACTATGCATGGGAGAGGTGGGTGTCTGCTAAGCTCCAATTAATCTTTAATCATCTTTACTTTATAAATAACTTTTATAGCTAGTTTTCATGTTTAAATAATATTTATACCTTTATTTTCACATATATTTCATTATTTTTGTGTTATCACTTAAATTGAGGTTTTGATTAACTTTAGCCTAACTGAAGCATGTGAATGCTAAATGCATTGCACTTTACTTTTAACAGAAAAGCTGTAAAGGGCGAAGACACACTGTAAAAGCTGTGCTTTTTGATTTATTCTCAGGTATGTTTTGTCACTTTGTTAATATTGTTTGGAGTTTTATTCTATCTTTCTCTCCATCTCTTCCCTTTCTGCACTGACTATGCATGGGAGAGAAAAGCTGTAAAGGGCGAAGACACACTGTAAAAGCTGTGCTTTTTGATTTATTCTCAGTGAGTAAAGAGCCGTCACAACTGCAGATCTCCGACTGGTTATTCCTTAATAAAGCAAAGAAAACACAACGCAGAACCGGTTACATTTACTCACCCGTTACTTGTTCCTGTTTGAGTGTTTTCCTCTGTCGAACACAAAAGACATTTTGAAAGAAATCTGCAAACCTGTAACCATTGACTTCCACAGTATTATGTTTTTCCTACCATGGAAATCAAAGGTTTGAGGTTTTCAGCTTTCTTCAAAACATCTTCTTGTTTGCTGAACCGAATGAAGAAGCTTAAAGGTTTGGAATTACTTGAGGGAAAGTAAATTTTCATTTTTGGTTGAAATGTCACTTAAATGGTTACATGTTTCCAACATTCATTAAAATATCTTCCATGTTCATCAGAAAAAAGAAAAACAAAAAAAAAAAACACTTGAACTAGTATGGATCAGCCTAAGGTAAGGAGATAGTTTTAAACACTGGCTGGATTTGCTCAATTGTTTTTCGATCATTTTTGATCCAAAAATAAAAAGAAGTTTCCATAAATGGATTTACAAAATCAGTCTGAGTTCACCAAAGTACCTTCTAGTGTTCAGAGTTCTTAAAAAACCTTAGTTTGTTAGCGTGAAGCACTTATATTGCAAGCACTTTATATAGCACAATAATCTAAAGAACATTTGTCCACTGCAAAAACAAATAAATATTGAAAAGGTACCGTGAATGTTAACCTTTATTTTTAAGGCTTTATTTATTTATTTTTTTTGCATTTTTTTTATTCTGTGTTTGATGTAATCTCAAATTAATCATGAAGACAGGTAGGGATATCATAGAGTAGCTCCTCCCCTTCATGCAAAATGTTTTTTTCACAGCACTGCCAGTCAGAGTGCTTGAGCTATGAAAAGTAAATGACAAGTATCTTGCAAGGGGCGGGACAAGTCAGATACTAGAGAGCATTTGATTGGTCAGATCATTAGATGACAGACTAGGTGTCAGTATTAGGTGACATCCAAACAAAAACATTGATTTATTTAGGCGGAGCAACAAACTGCAAGCTTTGAATTTTGTCACTGTTTGGTGCACACTAGCTTATAGATAACCTTAAGACTAAAATGCTCATACTAATTATTGAACGATACTGCAATTTCAGGGGCAGATACGTACAAAAACAACTCTCAAACCTGTGTGTGGATGAATGAAGAAGTCTTCTGCTCCAGAACCGAACAAGGAGAACTGGATTTGTGCGTTTGAGCCTGTGTCAGCATCTGTGGCTTTGACTCTGAGGATTTGCTTATTCAGAGGAACGTCTTCAGACACGGACACTGAATACAAGGCCTGCAGACACAAACACACTCATTACAGAGCTCCTTCCAGCATTAATTAGCCCATATTAGACTTGCAAACTTGCAAAAGCATCATGCCCAGACTTGACATCAGTTAACACCTAATTGGAACATGTCTAGTCAAAATATGCACATTCACATATTTAAATAGATTTGTTACAATTTGTTTAGGCCTTCAATCAGTCATTTATTACAAAGCGGCTGCATCCCGCTCTCCCTCATGATGCTAATATGGAAGTAACTGAAACTAACACTCGGCCTAACTCCATAACAGAGCAGATTTCTAATGACCTCAACAGAAAAAAGGTGTTTACAGCCCGCTACAAAGAAGGATTTTGGTTCATAAAGCTAATATTACCCTTCAAGACAACAGTAAGGGGGTGAATTCATTTAATTTATATTAAGTCTGCATAATTAAGGGGCGTGGCTACTTGAGTGACAGCTAGGTCTCGGTGGCTTTACCTCAGCTGATTCCGGCTGATTAGCCGCTGAACTCTGCATATACATTGTATTTTTGTTTTTTTATGTAGCTTATATACCATATGTATTTGTTTTAAGATAATTTAGCATTTATATTTTTTTTAGAACTTGAATGCACTCCAGAATCTGACAGATTGATTAGCTGTAGACTACACTGTAAAAAATAAACATTATTTTGCAGGTAAATGACTGTATTTTTGACAGAATTTTCCAAATTTTTCATTATACTGTGAAATACCTGTTGTTTTACCAACCCAGGCTCATTCTGAAAACATAGTCCCGGTGACTTTTCTGGAGAACACGAAATATGTCCTGGGAGGTACGTATTTTTGCAGTTTTTGCGAGAGGCTGCTGTGTCTATCTCTAATGTCACTTGCGAGTGCCGTTCACGCCCGCGCTGTTCTCAAGTGAACCCACCAGAGCCCACTGATGACCGACTGAATGATCAGCCCCCTTCACACATACAGACCTTTCCGGAAAATTACCGGCAATTTTCCGGAAAGGTTGTATGTGTGAACAGGCCCTTTTTAAAAATACCAGTAAATTCGTTCTGGCTATTTTCAGGAAAGAAAAGTTGTAACATTACTGGCAATTTGCCGGAATGCTGCACTGTGTGAATGCAGAAGGAAGATTGCCGGAAAGAGCGCGTCCACGTCTAGAACGTGCTGACGTGAGACACCTGCTTTAGCCAATCAGAACAGTCATGCGAAAGTGTTTCTCTATGTTTTCATTGGAGTTGCACTCAATACTGATCCATCCAAAGAGTTTGTAATGTAGTCAAATGTTTACAAACACAAGCGCAGCCGTTTAGAGGTCATTTCTGGTTAATGATGTCAGAATTTACCGGCATTTTGCGATGGATGTGTGAATGCTCTTTTCCGGAAAAATTCCGTAACGTCCTCGCCTGTGTGAACAGCGCTTTTTTGAATTCACCGGTAAAGTCGTTCCGGAAATTTTTCGGATATTTACCGGTATCACTGTGTGAAAGGGGCTAATGACTCGCTTACTACCATAAACCCAACCGACAGTTTACAAAAGCCGTCCAGAAAAAGAAAAGCTCTCGTCTGATTTTTAACACGTTTTCGGATTTTAACACATTCTCACTCTGTTGTTCACTCGTTTGTTTTATTTTTTGGATTCTGTTTTTGTCTTGTCTGATTTCTGAAACCGCTCTTTCCCGAACTCAAACCCGGTCTTCATAATGGTCAACTTCTCTCTGTCTCAAATCCGCCAACGTACACAACGAGCTAACTGGACAAACTGGTTGCAGTGGGAAAGGGTAAGCGCTCAGCAGGTAACCGCCCCGTAGCGTTCGCTTAAAAAAAATGAAATGCAGCCATATGTACCTTCGGCTACATAATTCGCAGTCTCCGGAATGTCCACGGGACTACGTTTCAGAATGAGCCTGTGTTGTGTTTTACAGATATGTTCTTTAATAAAAACTTCTAACATTAAATGTACAGTTATTGCTTGTACTTTGGTGTTGCTTTATTTTTCTGTATTGTTCTGTATTTTCAGAGAGTAACATGTAATTTTACGTTAATATTTACAGATTATTCCTGTGAAAATAGGGAAACAAAAATTCAGTAAAATTGTTTTTAGTGAAGATAGTAATCATATGAAGATTAATGTGAGGTTAATAATGTCAAATAATAGCCTATTGTTTGTAGGCTGCATATATTGCATGCACTGTAAACTATATAATGTTTATTTTACTACTCTAAAATTGTTGCTATACTAATTGTTATGATCACCAGTGATCTAGAGGCTACGGATCGCTGGAAAACTACACACACGCTACTTTAACAAACTATAACTCCCACCATGCACCTTGCACACACAGGTTCCTAATTCTGACTAATTATACACACAGTCAGAAGATTGTTATGGACTGATTTCAAATTATTATTTGTCTGTTTACAAACACACCCAAATCCAAAAGTGTCCACTTTCAGTGCTCTCCAAATCACGCGTACAAAAGCTGATCTGGGAACAGTGTCTTTATGACTAAAGGAGCTTGTCTGTCAGTTACACCGTTACATGCATTGACTGATTTAGAGGTTGCATAAAAACAGCGACGATGGAATGTTGTCATTTTAATATTAATTTCAAAGTGCTTTCAAGTCAAAGCAAAGCAAAAGTATTATTCTCTTGAACAGCTTTTGCAATTATATCACATTTGAAATGTTCCTGCACTACTTTCACTTTTCATAGAAAGATCAAGAATACAAGAAAAATACGGGAAAATACATAAACAGGATGATAGAGAGATAAAATACAGGAGAATCCCAGGGAGGGTTGACAGGTATGAACATCACAGGAAGAGTTGTCATCTCCAATGTGCTCTCTATTGGCCATCATAAGCAAGGCTGAACATTAGAATCAAACATTTTAAGATATACAGTAAAGTGTGTTTAATGCTATAGATACATCTAAAGGCTTGTACAAATCCGGGACGCTTTTCGTTTGCGTCGGTCGTCAGCGTTTTTCGAGACTTTTTTTTCCGGATTCAAACCCAAGCCATTTTCACTGTCTTCCAGCAGAAGAGTGTGCAAAATCAATCCTTGGCGTTATATGGCGCTACACATCTTTAAGCTTCTGAGAAAGTTCTTTGGTTAAAGTTACTGGCGATTCGAACAAGCATGGATGGTTTAAGTAGCAGCTTCAGCTCTAGCGATGAAGAAATGATTCTTGTTCACCAGTGCAATAAGCAGGTTCACACCTCTGGGTATCTTCTTTAATGTGCGCTTGCATTGACAGTTTTGCACTTGAATGCCTCCACTTCAGCAGCTCCATGCACGTGAACAAAAGTGCCATCTGATTTGTGGATAAGGTGCGTATTTTTTTATTTTTTTTTTAAATGACGCTTTTACGGCTGGCGTTTTTTGCGTTGGTGTGCACGATCACATTGGCGCCCTTTATTTAGTCACAAGGCATTAAATGTTGACAGAAAACGTGAGCAAAAAGTATCCCAGTGTGCACGGGCCTTAACCTCCTAGGGCTTAATGGCCACATACGTGGACAGCACATTTTTGCTCTTATGTCTTATGTTTTATATTTTGTTACAGACATACAGTGTTTTGCAGCAACTTTTTTGCAGCATATAAAAAGTCCCAAACAATATTTTTACTGTCCAAAATGGGGAAAAAAAAATTGTTTTTACTGATAGTCAAAACATGTTCAAAAAATATGTGTGTATGTGTTATTAATACAGTAAAAAAAACAGTCAGGAAAAAAAAAACTGCTGTGTTCAAGGCAGAAATAAAGAGTTTTTCATTCTATTACACAAAGGCAACTTTATTGTGTTTTCAAGAGTTCACACTTAGCTGATGATTAATTATAAAAGCTTGTTTGGCATGCTGTCCCGGGAGAGAGCCCTGAGCTCATGAGATCCTCGAGCCCAGGGCTCCCTCCCGTTGCAAGGCGGGAGGGGAGTTTGAGCTCAGGTAGATTTCGAGAACTCCCCTGCTGTAGCAAGTGATTGCTCTTGAAAATAACTACGTACTAGAAGCGTGTCTATGGTGCCAATTTGGATTGTTCAATTGACTTAATTGCATGTTTTTAGACGGTGGGAGGAAACCGGGGAACCCGGGGGAAACCCACGTGAGCACGGGGAGAAGTGCAAACTCCACACAGAAATGTCTGCTAGTTTGGTAAAGCCAGGAACCAGAGACATTCTTGCTGTGAGGCGACAGTGCTATGCACTGGGCCACCGTGTCACCTGTCTAAGAAGGAGGAGTAGGGGAGGAAGGGGGGACTCTTCAAAACGAAGATAGCAGTGGAATGAAACCCAGGGTATTTATAGTAGTTTAGGAGTCATCTGATTGGAGCGTAGTGAATTGGATAATGTCCCTAGTAGCAAAGAATTCTGGCCCAGATTTGGCAAAAAGCTGGCACAGCAGGCATTCATCCGGCACTGGCATACAGCATGTGGGCCAAACATGGCCCGGATTTGGCAGAGGTGGCACCGTTTTTAAGGCGGCACACAAGATTTGGGCCAGATGAAAAATGTAGTATTTGGCCCAGATTTAAAAAATTGATAAGTGGGCCATGTGAGTTTGGCCAGTCTTGACCCACATTTAAAATACACTAAAATAATTTTTGAGTAAAGAAAAAAAATTCTACCAATCAGGTCACTTTGAGAAAAAGCGTGCCCATAGTGTGCCTAAAGCGCATCACTCCATGAGTTTATCAATTTCATTGCAATCGTGACACACCGACCTATCTGGCCCAGTTCAGGCCCAGTAATGAGTTATTAACTTGGCTGAGACTTGGCCCAGATATGGTCTGTGTTTGGCCCTTGTCTGGAAGCCAGATTTGGTCCAGTCATGTACCGTAATTCACTGCGGCATGTGGGCCAAGCAAAACCTGATTGTGTGGGCCAGAGCTGGGCCAGAGAAATTTTGCTATGTGGGGTGGATCCAGCCGCTAGCAATCACAAGCACGTGATCCTCTCGAAATGTGTTTATACATAAACTTCACTTATGGAAATTAGGACCACAGGTCCATTTTTCTCTAGAAGTACATCATATCGAAAGATGACACTTTGTTTTTTTCTAATTAATAATAAAACAACTTGGGCCTTAAGATGTTAAGTGTCAGATATATTTCAGGAATGTTTGGCCATAAGAGTTCTACTGCAATTCAAAAACCGTCAAACTTCACATTTTAATTTGTGTATGCAAATTTGACAAACACACTCATTAGGGAGTTTTTATGTGATTGAAGCGCTCAATTCAGGTTGATTTGTGCTTTGTGATTTGAGTCGAGAGCTTTTTTCCGCCCTCATGATTTCGGCGACAAAAATGAAGAGTCAATTAAAACGCTTTTTAAACACAGAGGTCTGCGAGACTAATTATCAATCAAGGAACTAAAAGCTAATGAGCTGCCGACATAGACTGTGTTTTTAGACTTTTGAACATTCGATTGAAACATTTCGGCTATCATTCACTTATTCATTCATTCATTTTCCTTTCGGCTCAGTCCCTTTTTTAATCTGGGGTCGCCACAGCGGTATGAACCGCCATTTCGACAATCATAGTCACATTTAATTCATTCCTTTTCAGCACATAAAACAACAGATTTGATTGTTTTTAGCCATCATGAGCACATGACGTTCTTTTTTTCTGGCCATCTTACATTAGATAAATTCAAGTGCATTCAAGCATTTAATAATTGTCGGCCATTACAGGCATGCGTGAACATGAGTTGATTGATATTTTTCTTGGCTCTCAAAGACGAATGTTAATACCGTTGGCCATCCTAAAAGCACTCAGACGTTTACTTCTGTCAGTTTTGTTCATTAAAGTCACTTCTGAACATCTGATTTGAATGCTTCTGGCATATTAAATATGTTTGGCCGTTGTAAGCGCATTCAATGTGAGGATTTCTGGCAGTCACTGGCATTTCATATGGCAAAGTCTTAGCCAAAACAGAGGCATTTGTTGCTTTCATTTTTATGTTTTTGGGCTTGTACGATATTTATTGTTCAATTTGACTGTTTACTTCATATAAACATTTACTGTTTTGTGCGAATGGGGCAGCACGGTGTCTCAGTGGTTAGCACTGCCGCCTCACAGCAAGAAGGTCACTGGTTTGCATGTTCTCCCAGTGTTAGTGTGGGTTTCCTCCGGGTGCTCCGGTTTCCCCCACAGTCCAAACACATGCGCTTTAGGTGAATTGAATCAATTAATTGGTCGTAGTGTATGTGTGTGAATGTAAGTGTATGGGTGTTTCCCAGTACTGGGTTGCAGCTGGAAGGGCATCAGCTATGTAAAACATATGCTGAATAAGAGGGAGGTTCTGATAAATAAAGGAACTCAGATTTTGATAATAAAACTGATGCGCTTCAAATGCTCAAAAATGCTGGCAGGTCAGTTGGTTTTGATGCCCCTGCTAAACAGACTGACCTGGTTTTCTGCTTGACCTTATTTTAACAAGGTCATGTTTTATGCTCACAGATTATTTCCCCTGAACCTACTGGCTGCTCAAAGTGGTTCCAGAAATATTCCTGGCTTTGGCTTGCATTTGATTTAGCTTGAAACATGCTCAGAAAATGCTGTAACTTGAAAACAACAACAACAACAACTCTGACGATGCTTCTGTTTCCTAGAAAGAACGTTAAACATGTAAAGCCGGACACAAGCATTTCTATAAATGCTTGATAAAACTGACTCTGATTTTCAAATAAAAATATGGTCATTTAGGGCATTTATTTATTTCGTAATTAGACAACAGATGAATAAATACTCTAAACAAAAGGATTGTTTATTGTTTGATCATGTTAGTGATACATTAATTAACATTAACTAATGAACCACTATTTTAAACTATTACATCATTAATTTTTAGGGTACGCAGTACCAATATTTTAACTTCAGAAGAAGTTCTTTTTATTCTGATCATTGTTAATTATTCATTTTTAACCCACAGAGCATTGACTCTTTATACACACAACTTTGGATCAAGGTTACAATAGTTTTGGATTTTTCATTAGTTTTAGTTTCTATTTCGTTTTGACTGTTTGTTTTCAAATTCAGTTAGTTTGAATTAGTTTTAGAGGTAGATTTCTTAGTTTTTATTAGTTTCTATATTTTAAAAATGTCTTAGTTTTAGTTTAGTTTTTATTCGTTTCAGTATTAGTTTCAGTTTTTTTTCTAAATGAGAATATTTGTTAGGTGGAAGGTTCAAAATCAACAGGATAAATATCGTATAATAAAAACTCAGCCTCACATTTTTTAAAACACGTATTCAGAGAACACATGAACACAATCATCTACCACAACCATCTACCCATCCTCAAGTTAGACACACAGTAGTGATGGACAGGGCCGGATTAACCCATGGGCAGTATGGGCACAGGTTCAGGGGCCCATCCGCACTTAGATTTTGCCTACTTTTCATCACGAGAAAGACAAGTAGGAATCATTAATAAGTGTGTGTATTATGGAGGATTCCTAGAACTGGATTGGAGAGGTGTTATCCAAATAATGTGCATTATAAGTTTGTAGAAGTTATACACTAAAAATACCCTTAAATATAAATTTTAGTACTGCTTCAGTGAACTTGAACAAGTATAATAAAATCCATTAATTTCCCCTAGTTGTATTAGTATTTGTTTTTCAAAGTGTGCTTTAAATGCTTTAAAAATAAGTTAAATCTTTGTAGACTAGAAATATAGTGTATATCAATTATTTTAAAAATGTGGGCAATATATTATAAATTAATTTTATTTAACAAATATTATATTAATCTTATTTTTTAGTTCAACTATGGGATGCGGCTATAGGGGGCCTTTAAGACATTGTGCCCAGGAGCCTCTAAATAATTAATCTGGGCCAATGATCTGGCCAATGGCAGCAGGAGACACTGAGGTGCGAAAGGGTAAAAAAAAACACCAGCAGCGCGGCTTACATTTACTTTTAAAAGGCTTATAGTAAGATTATGTATTAAATACATTTACAAAAACGAAAACGATGGAGGTTTTTGCTATCATTTAAGTTAGTTTCAGTTAGTTTTGTATGCACACAATACAGTTTCAGTTAGTTCTAGTTTTTGAAAAACTCGTTTTTATTTTTTATTTCAGTTAACGACAATTATTTTACATTTTAGTTTTCGTTTTTTCGTAAGTTTTCGTTAACTATAATAATCTTGCTTTGGAAGTTAACAATGCATTAGTAAATGCTGAAGTATGATTAATAAATGCTGTGCAAGATTGTTTTTACTTACAGTGAAGAAAAACTTACAGTTTTTTTCAAAATAAAAGATTGATCAGACTCAGATAATAAATAAAATGTAAATAATTAATGATTCCATGTGCTGTGCAGTACCAATTGATAGACTAACCGGGGGTTGGGGACTACTCATTTACAGAGAAAAAAACACACACACACAAAAAAACACATAACAATTAATCATGAATCCAAAAATTTTTTTCCACTCAAAGCTTTTTTCACGGTTCAACACTTATTTTTATAACTAATAATCCCCTTGTAAGTGTAAATGTAATGCACCACAGTAACATCCAAAACTTTTTCCAAAAAATATTTTGTTCCTCCCATCCACTCATTAATGCAAGCTGCATAACGCCAACAGTTCAATTATAATCCTTTGGGTCTAAACTAACTTAGAGGGCCCCACTTACACATGCTGTAATAGCAGGTTAAATGTCAGACTCACCGGCTCACAGACAGGACTGTTATCATTAGTGTCCATGACCGTCACATCAACAGAAGCCGTGGAAACGTAGAGTCCATCAGTGGCGGTCACATTGATGAGGTATCGCTCCTGCTCCTCACGATCCAGCGGACGTTTCACATACAGCTTCCACTCGCCCTGAACCAAGCCCAGAGCGAACACACCGCCTCTGTTACCAC